TCAATATCAGAAGTTTAAAATAACAGCTGTATGGTGGCTCACCTGTAATCCCAGCATTCAGGAGGACTACTGAAAGTTCAAGGCCATCTGGGCTACATATGAATTCCAGGCATGAGACCCTGTCTCAGAAGGAAAAGGAAAGACCTGTAACTCCAACATCAGGGGATTTGACACTTTCCTCAGACCTCCACCTTCACTTGTGCAAGTACACACATAAACTAAAAAAAAAGAATATCTCTGAAATAAGTAAAAAAAACCTGAAGTGTAATGGGAAATGGCATCCAATAAGCAACCATCCAGTTTCAGGGGAATCCTACGCCGTCTTCTGGCCTCTGTGGGCTCTGCATGAAACTGGTGCACAGACATACATGTAGGAAAAAAAACATTCATACACATAAAATTAATTTTTGTTGTGTGTGTGTGTGTGTGTGTGTGTGTTTTTTTTTTTTTTTTTTTTTTTTTTTTTGAGACAGGGTTTCTACATGTAACAGTCCTGGCTGTCCTGGAACTCACTTTGTAGACCGCGCTGGCCTCGAACTCATAGAGATCAACCTGCCTCTGTCTCCCAAGTGCTGGGATCAAAAGCATGCACCATCATCGCCTGACTAAAATTTATTTTTTTAAAGTATGAAAATGAATAACCTACACAAGTTACAAAAATAAAGAATTACAAATTTAAATTAGGTGTTACCTAAAAGAAATTTGTAAATGTCATTTTTTTTTTTTTTTAGTGTATGCTAACTAAATAGCTGTATCTAACCTTCTGCATAGGCTGTATTTAACCATTTGCATAGGAAATCCACTTCACAAGCCTTATTCTATACCGACATGCTTAGGAAGTACCACTCATGTGCAAAGTTATTCATTGTAGCTCCATATGTAATAGAAAAAATGATGAAAATCCAGGCAGTTAACACATGTAAAAGATGGCAGCCTTTTTACTATGGAATACTACACAGCTGTAACAGAATGTAAACACACGACTGAATGTCGAGGTACTAATAACAGCTGCTGGGACAATGGCAGGCAATGTCTGAAACACAGGCCAAGAACGTTTATTTTAAAAAGGCAGAGTGGGGGAACAGGATGATGGACACTTTATTCTGGACTGTTCTGATCTTTGAATTACATGACTATAGAGCCTAGTGAAAGTTATTTCACAAAGAAAACCAAGGAACGCAGCTCATTGGCAGAGCGTGGCCCAGTGTACACAAGGCCCTGGTTTCCGTTCCCAGAACCACAACCCAAGAAAAACAAGGGATCACAGTTGACACATTCGCCACTCCCTTACACCTTGACTATCTCCTCCTACTTCCTCTCTGTCTGGAAGTCCTGTCTATACCTACCCCCTAGCTTTTTATTACACCAATCACAGAAATACACCTTCACACTGTGTGCAACACGTAGGTGTGATTCTCGAATACAATTTCCAAGTCTAATCAGGGACTAAACCCAAAGGGGGTCATGTTGTTAGCCTAGCATAATGGGAGAAAGTGGATTGAAATGAGCACAAACACATAAAGGTTTTAAAAACTATATTATTCTGTTTACATTTATTTGTGTGCTTGTGTACACACAAGCATGAGTCAGAGGACAACTTTAGGGCACAATGTGGGTCCTGGGGATCCAATGCAACAGCAAGCACTTTCATCTACTGAGCCATCCCACCGCACCCCTCCCATCACCCCCTATGAGTTCGAGGCCAGCATGGTCTATAGAGCACTGTAACACAGAGAAACCCTGTCTCAAAAAACCATACCAATAATAACCACAACAACAATAATAATGCAGCATGCCAAGCAGAGCTTTCTAACCACATACTCTCATCCCTTAATTCACAATCTTAATGAATGTTTCTATAATAGTATGGAATGCCCTGAGAGCAGCTCTGGGGTCAACCATAATAAATTTAGGAGCATTACTTTATTCCGACAATTCCTAGGCTCTCCTGGATCCGCTCTGGCAGAAAGTTAGAGGGCTTGTGGAATGCAGAGCTCTGGTTGCCATGGGTGGCTGTGGGCTCCCAAGTCAGGTGAGATCTATACCTCCAGGCCTCCAGCCTGATATAAATTGGAAAGCCCAGTAGGGGGCTCTGCTTCCCCATCTGGGCTGGTCCCAACCAAAGGCCCTCTCTGGAGACTCTATGGCAGTTGTGATTTGGAGTTCCCCATGATGGACAAGCATGGTGCCCTGGCTGGCAACAGTCCTAAGTTAGCAGACTCTGAACTTCTTATCTCCTGGCATTCTGACAGCCGCCAGCTTGGAGATCAGAGAAGACCCATTGTAGAGGCTAAGGGGATGGGGGGGTGATGGCCTGACCCTTACCTCCTTCCCAGCTCTCTTGGGACTCTCTCTTTTCTCCAGAGTCTACAAGAGAAAGAAGTACAGGGCTTCCCCAAACAAACTACTGCAGCAGAAGCCCACCCCTCCCTTGGTCCATCCAACATGCTGAGTAATAACCGACCCCCTTCCCAGTATCCCCGAGGAAAGCACAGGACTATTGGTAAATTTGTCATTTTTAAAGGGTGGGGAGCAGAACACTTCTTTGGTATTCCCCAACAAGTCTCTGCCACTCACAAGCAGTGTCATTTGGGGACACCAATTAACCTCTCTGGATCCAGTATCTCCATAAGTCACTGCAGATAACAAGCCAGCCTGTGGCTCTGCAAAATGGCAGGGTATTACCTTGTTCGGGCATTAAATGGCACAGAGAGAGTACAACTGGTATGGTGGGGGTGGGGGGTCAGGGACAGAGGCACACGCAAAATATCCCACCTCACCAAGGGTTAGCTTGGGGTGCGGAAGAGGTGTAGGCAGTCTTTGAAACCAGGACCCATCCTGTGACTGACAAGTACACACACACACACACACACACACACACACACACAGGGGCACTGTGGGGGGTTGAGGTGGAGTCCCTCCTGCCCATCACTAAACCCAGAGGAGGAATAGACTCAAGGCAGAAAAACACCCATCTTCCCTAAGATTGTCCGATGACGGCAGGCCACAGACAAGCAGTCTCCCCAGGAGGACAAGGGACACTTTATACCCTGCTAAGGAGGAGACAATTCACCTAATGTCTGGGTTCCCACCATCCTTACAACCTAGCCCACTTGAGCTGCTGAGACTCTAAACCCACAAAATGGTGGCACTACCAAGACCTCAGCCACATTCCAGACATGACCACAACGTTCCACCCGTCAGTCAGCGAGAACAGACTCACTGTTGGATAGTGATGGCGCTGGGATTTGGAGAGACATCCATCTAGCTCCGAAGACCTGAGCACTCTGCCACCAGGCCTCACCTCTAACAGAGCACTCCCTTCTCTAACCTACTCCAATTAGCAAGGAGACCTCTTGTGTTGCCACTTAATTCTTTCTTCACCTGCAGGCCGTGGATGAGTGCACATCAAACTCTGTACAGGGGACCTGGGCCTTCAGCACCAACACTGGGTTTGCAACAGAACTCTGGATCCCTGGGAGCCTGTAATTTTCCTGTTGTCTAAAGGAAAGACCTCCCTCACTCAAATTAGTTGATTGCTTAGCCAATTTCTAGGTCCTTTTATCCCTGTTACCTGGGCCTCTACACTGTGCAGGTGAAGAACAAAAAGATATGGAAGCAAGAGGTGTTCTGGCATGGTCCTTCTGGAAGAGCCCATATCCTGGGTCAATTTGGTACCTCTGTTCACACCAACAAAAGTCACAGGAAGAAGACCCATATTCCATCTCCCGCCTGCACCACTGGCAAAGAGCTCAACTGAGTCAACAACAGAAAAACTACTTTTAACTCCAGTTGTTACAAGTTCTGATTCCGGCCTTTCCTCCGGCTGCTTGGCCAAGGAGACTTGTCGGAACCCCTCAGTGTTTACTATTTGTTTTAATAGGTAAGGGTTATGGAATTGTACATATTTCGAATAAACAATTCAGGCTGGCCTCAGGACTAACCAGAACCCTCTCCAAGGTCGCAGAGCATGTTAGGAACAGGGGCTGAACCGTGGTCAGGGTGGCTACTCTGGGACCAGTTTTTACCACCCCCTTAAATCAACACCCCCAAGTACCGTATCCCAATGACCAGTGACTGGCTGGGTAAAAAGGGCTAATGCCACAATCCCAAATCCAGAAGTTGCTTCAGGAAGAGGGGTTCTGCCAAAGTTGCTCCTGCCCCTACCCTGTCATATAGGCTACAGGAAAGCACTCTGTCCCTCACCAATCATATTCAGAGTCATCTTGACCATACAGGCCACGTAACTATTTGGACAGTCCAATCGGTTTGGAATCTAGGCCCGGGGAGGCACAAGATCCTAAAAACTAAACCCACACGCCAGAGAGGCAATTTTCCTGCTGCGATCCCACCTCAAGATCGTAAGATGAATATGGATGGCTATTTTGGCTGTAGCCCTAAAACTCCTAGAGGGAGCACCCGGTAATCAGACCACCTAATTTGGTCAGTCCCAACCTAAGAGTCCCTGCCGCTAGCCAAGCGGGAAATCAGCGCGGTGCCTCCCTTGCGGTTCTCCAATCTGGCCCAACCCAACCGTAAGAATCAGGCATCACTCTTCAGCCGGAGGATAGCCTGACAGGGGGCAGGGAGGAGGGTACACAGGTTCCTGGAATGCAAGGTACAGACACCAGAGCCCCAAGCGAGCAGCCGCCACCGCAGAGCATCCGATCTGCCATCTACTCCGCTTCCTCTGCGCTCAGTGTCCCCGGGCTCTAGAAAGCCCATCTCAACCTTTCCGCGCAGCTATCGACCTCTCCGGCGCCCTTCTCTGGCTCACACATCCCAGGCCCTCCAGCCGAAGGGACAGCGCTATGACCTCCTTTCCCTCGCCACCGTGGCACTGCGATCAGGTGCCACCACTAGGACCGGGCTCAGGGAGTGTGCGGCCTCCCGAAAGGATCCCGGTCCTCGTTGTGCCTGTGTCCCCAACCCCCCACACAGTGTCCCCCAGCCAGGCGGTGCACCGGTTCCCATCCTGCGTGCGCCCGCTCAGTCCTCACCTGCAGTCCTCCAGCCGGCAGTCGGGCCCACGCAGCCTCACTATCCAGGCCCCGGGGCAGCCGGCGACACAGCTACTGAGTGGGTGCGTCCCAGCCGACAGCCACGCGCCCCCTCTCTGCGTCCGGCCCCCGCCGCGTGCGCATGCCCGGCCATATACTCCGCGCGTCACCGCAGGACCCGCCCCTGCCTGCCGCCCCGCCCCGCCCCATTCCCCCGGGCCTGCCACGTGGGGCGGTCAGGGAGCAGCGTCCAGTTACTCCAGCCAACCTGGTCCTTGAACGCTGTGCATCCCGGACTCGCATCCTACCTCTCACGGTCTCATCCACCCTTCCTCTCAAATTACATCCTTGACTCATAGAGGCTCTGCAGGCTCCTCTATTCTCTGGAAACCTCCCATCTGTCCTTCTGCGCCCTTTGTGGGAACTCTCATAGTCTGGCCTCCATCGTGAAGTAGAGAGCCCCTCTCTTGGTAGGGTTATGTATTTTAACACTGCTGATGAATCTAAGAGGCTTCCTTCTGATCTTCCCAATTCTAAAAATCCTCTAAACAGGATGGAGCAATCCATAGACTATGTTTCCTTTGCATGCCCCAGCCAACCAAAGACATGAGTCTTGTCACGATCCAAATAGGAAGTTATATTCACATTTCAGATTTTCGCATCTCTTTCTTGCAGTAATCAGATTCCAATGGAGCCAATAAAGCCTTAGGTTTTGTTTGGGGAATATCTTAGGAGGGAGTCTCTTCCGCTGTAGGGAAGGCCTATTGTGTTGGAGATTAAGCCTCGGATATGCAAATTTCTTGAGAAAAATAAACCACCCACTAAACCCTTATTGTTCTATCCAGCATGACATTAGGATTATTTCCTCTATAGCTTTACCAGCTGTCACCTGGGACTGGGAGACGCAGAAGTACTTTAAATGGTACTGAAGCCAGAGAATACCCATGCTTCTGTTCTAGCACAGAGAAAAGTGCCTGCTAGTATTTCTAGGTTTGTGCAGTAGAGAGATGGCATCCAAGTGTTGGGGATCAAAAAGGGTAGGAAATGAACCCAGAGTTCCTAGAACAGGTGGCAGGAAGGACCTAGAGCTCAGTGGCAGCTTGCTCTTCAGGGCTGAATAAAGAAAGATTGGGGAAGCACTAAAGTGAGTGGGTGGGAGGGAAAGGTAAAAGCCAGTCCTGGTGGTGCAGACCTATCATCTCAGCTACTCTGCAGGCAGGAGGACCTCAAGTTCAAGACCATATAGGGCAAAATTCCACGAAACCTTTTCTCATAATAAAAGGTAGGAGGAAGACTGGGTACATATTGGTCCAGTGCATGCCTAAGCCTGCATGAAGCCATGGGTTCAAGACCAGCAAAACCAGGTCTGGTAATGCACTCTTGTAATGCAGCATTTTGGGAAGTAGAGACAGAAGATTCACTAGTTTAAAATCACCCTTTGGTCCCATAAGTTTGAGGTCATGCCTGAGCTACCTGAGATCCTGTCTGTAAATTGATTAATCAATGTCTTGCCTAGCATATACAAAAGATATAAAGGTACTGAGTCCATTCAGCTTCTTCTGGTCACTATGTTCTAAAACTCATTGATCTTCACTGTAATTACAGTGCTCCAGTGGGTAAGGGGGAGAGCTGTGATAGCCCTCTCATTTACTTTGAGTGATTCAGAGGTAATGATAGCTCTTGCAGAATTCCCTCCAGAGCCCCTTCAACTCTGTAATAACACTGAATATTTGTCTTGGTTAAATTTACAGTGTTTTTCAGACATTATGTCATCTACTTAGGCTCCAAAGTGCAATGGGCTGTTAGGAAGGGTCAGTCCCCCATCAGGCCTTTCCTCGAAGGCATATATAAGAAGAATGAAAAGCCCACCCAGAGATAAGACATCAGATACTTCAACAGAGCTCTGAATAGGAGAAGTCCACAAGTACACATCCCACAGGGTTCCAGGTGAGGTGTCAGGACTACAGCTTTCATTAAGCAGCTGTCAAAGACTGCTCGGAGTCCACAGTGGGAAGCTGGGCATAGTGGCTCCTGTCTGTAATGCCAGCACTTGGTCAGTGAAGTAAGAGGATCAAGGGTTCAAGGCCAGTTCAGGTCCATAGTGAAAGGCCAACCAGGGTTACAAGGGACCCTGTCTACAAACAAACAAACAAACAAACAAGCAAACAAAAAGTACTAGCGGGAAAGAGGGGTGACTGACACCCCATCTCAGGACCTATCTGTGTGGCATTGTCACTTGTTTGTAGAACTGTCAAAGTCCACAGGGGCAACTTGAGTTGATAAACTATCTCAAGCTGATAACTACACACAAGAGCAATACAATTAATCATTAACATAGCTCAAAATCAAAAGGTCCTAAGTCTCTGCCTCTGACCCCACATACATTTATTTCTTCAGGAGGCATGTCCTGTTCAGATGACTTACAGAGACTGTCCTACCTTGTCCGTGACAGTGATGCTCACCACAAACACTGGCAGTTTGGAGCCTGGGTCCTATGCTACCCTGTCCCTGACCCCCCTCACTGTACTGTCCCTCCTTTTCCCTCTCACCCCCCCCCTTCCACGTGTCTTAGTTTAATTGTTCTGAAGTATATCTGATCTACTCTTTCAGACTTTTTGGACACCTGTATCTTTTAAAAAAAGCTATAGAGTTGGTGTCTCACAGCCCTCTGTAACTCCATTTCCGGGGGGTCTGACCCCCCACCTTCTGGTCTCTGTACATACGTGTTATACTTCCAGGCATCAAGTCAAATCATTCATGTATATAAAATCAAAATAAATAACTCCAATGTAAATAATGTACAAAATAATATACAAAAATTCCATAAAATAAGGTCTAAAAGTGTAGCTCCTTTGGTAGAACATTTGCCTAGCATGCTCCAGGCTTTGGGTTCAATTTCCAGGACCACAAAACAAAGGGCCAAGCATGATGGCCCATCCCTTTAACCCCAGCACTCAAGAGTCAAGAGCAGTCAGAGCTCTATGACTTCAAGGCTAGTAACAAACCCACTAAATTTGATTTTGTGACCATTATTGGCTTGTGATCTACAGAATTAATATGATTTATGGAATTTGTATTTTTTTTGCTTCAAAGCATTTCTAATACAAGCTTCTTATTTTCTATTATATTTATCTATTCATTTATTGTATGTATATGTTTGTGCATACCTGGGCACCATTACATGTATGTGGAGATCAGAGGACAACTTGCAGGGAATTGGTTGTCTTTCCTCCATGTGGGTCTCCAGAATTGAACTCTGGTTGTTAGGCTTGGAAGTGGTGCCTTTACCCTCATAGCCATCTTGCTGGGACCCAAAGTATTTTATTTCTATCCCTGGAGTTAAGACTTTAACCTGCCTTGATTATAAGGGATTTCAATCTGTACCTGAACCCTGTAATATAGCAGTTTGCACATAAAAGGTTCTCTAAAAATATTTGGACTGGCTAGCAGCTCCCTCAAAACTGGATGTTGGACAATATTTAAGGGAACTAAACACAAGAAACTGACATGGTCATGGCCCTGCCAACATATGCAGACAGATTTTCCGTAGAAGAGGTGAATGGAATAGCCCTGCAGAAGAAGCCAACGAAATGAGACACCCATCCTGCAGTCCCCTGAGTCAACTGTGTTGACAAGACAGGCAGGGGATGAGCTGAGCAGCCAAGACTCCTCATCCTTCCCATCAGTTTTGAACCATGTTGGTTTTGCCAGGAGTCCACAGCTTTTTTTTTTTTTTTTTTTTTTTTTAGACTGTTAGATTAGTTATCAATTCCTCTGGGGCTCTTTGGGGAGATTTTTGGGGGGTTTTCCTATGGCCTAGTAGGACTTAACATTTAAGAGGACCTGAGAAAACATGAAGATGTCCCTCGCCCCAAAATCAGGCTGAAGAACCCAAGGGCCCATGTGTTAACACCCTATGCTGTTAGGCAAAGCTCAGATGATGGCCAGTGGCCTCAGCTGTGAATCACATAGGAGCTTCTGACCCAGTCAGACAAAACGGCAATTGGGAGAACACTTGGCTTTGGAGTAATTAGCAATGGGAATTCTAATCGGACAAACATATATTACCATATTTCATAACTTTTTTCTCTCTGCTTTTATTCTTCTTACTCTGTTTGTTTTGTTTTTTTATATTTATGTGTAAGAGTATTTTTGCTTGCATGTATGTATATGCACCACAGACATGTTTGGTCCATGGTACTGGATTCCCTGGAACAGGAGCTACAGGAGGTTGTGAGCATATGGGTGCTAAGAACCCAAACAAGGTCCTCTTCAGGGGAGCCATCTCTCTAACTCCCTTAAAAACATTTTCTTACATTTATTTTGTGTATGGAGGTCAGAGGACAACTTAGGGGAAACAGTTCTGTCCTTCCACCATGTGAGTCCAGGAACTGAACTCAGGCTGTCAGGCTTGGTGGCACAGATGAAGCCATCTCACCGGACGTCCCTTTTATTATTCACCAGTCCAGCTAAAGGTCTGCCATTTTGTTAGTCTTTTCAAAAAGACAACTTAGGGTTTTGTTTGTTTTTCTTTGTTACTTTTTGTCTTTATTAATTTTTGCGCTGACCTTTATTTTTAGAAGATCAGCAGGGTGTGTAACACACACCTATGTGTTGTCCAGCTCCCTGGGAAGCTAAGGAAAAAAGATCAGTGATGTTTAGGTGCTCACGACCAGCTTGGTCAATGTAGTAAGACCTCCATCTCAAAAATTAAAAATTTTTATACACACTGTGACAAGTGTTTTTCCATGCCTCCCTACATAAAGTAAATGCAATTTAAAAAATAACTTTTTAGTGGTAGAGAAGGCACTTGGAAGTTGAGCTGACAGCAATGGTTAAGACTGATAAACAGTTTAAGCACATACTCAAAACTTCAGTGCCTTCCTATCTGGTCCCCAGCCTGCTCAGAGGGAATCACCTGGCTACCAATGGTGCTGCCCCCGACATGCAGAATAACAGATGAATAACACTACTTTTGCTTCTCTCTGAAGGAAACACATTAAAGCCATTTAATAAACAAACCACATTCTTTCAGACACAACTAGATACATAGATTGTTTTTATTTTACCCCACAGGGCTCAATTGCTTGGCACTGAAACTGAAAAACAAGGCAAGAACATCAGGTATAGAAAGTATGGGCATTCTGG